ACATTTTCATTTAATGAGTATATATAAGTTTGTCTATTAGTTAAGTTGGCTCTATAACTATTCATTCATTTCTTGCCAAGCCATTAATTAAATTTTAACTTTTTCTTTTTTTGTTGTTTTCTGTTTTCAATTGTTTTTTCTGACATTTGATTTATTCACACAGCCATGAGCAATGGATTGCAAGAGGGGCTGCTCGGCTCAGAATCAACCGATTTGAAGGGTCGAATTTGTGACGAGTCGAAGAAAATATGGAGAGTCGCGTTGCCTACCGTGATCTCCCGAGTCACCTCGTTCGGTTGCGTGATTATCACTCAATCGTTTATCGGCCACATAAGCGCGGTTGATCTTGCCGGTTATGCGCTTGTCCAGACATTAGGCGTTCGTTTCGTGAACGGGATTCTGGTAAGAAAAAGTCTCTTTATTTGTTTACAAATAAATTCGAGTTGTCTTGATTAATCAGGGTTATTTAAAAAAAATTCGATGGTTAGTTGTTAGTAGAATTTTAATTTTATATTAAAATGATATTTAAAATAAAATAATTAAAGTTGATTTAATGTGAAAATAGAAAAAACTGATGTGAAGGGAGGGATAGTTAAAATTATATGAGTTGATGAATAGTAAATTGAAGTTAATGTGACGTGTAAGAATGATTGATTTATATTATTTAATTATATTGATAATAATGAGAACAATGTGGTTGAGTTATATTTTGAGTATGTACTGTGAATGAATTATTTTGTAAACACACATGCTCTAAAGTTCTTGTTTTTTCATGCTACATTATGTTCACTTGCATAAAGAAAACGAGCATTTACGCGCACAATGTTCTTTTTCGTGGTTCTCTAGTTAAGGTAAAAATTTCTATATCTCTTTATATATAAATATATATATGTTCAGATAGGGATGTCGAGTGCAACCGAGACGCTTTGTGGGCAAGCGTTCGGAGCCAAACAATACCACATGATGGGCATTTTCTTGCAACGTTCGTGGCTAGTCGACTTATTAACACTAACCATTCTTCTTCCTCTGTTCTTCTTGGGAGGTCCGATTTTCAAGCTTTTGGGTGAAGAAAAGTTGATAGCCGAGTCGGCCGGGTTCATATCCTTGTGGTTCATTCCTTATTGTTACGCGCTCGTGTTTGGGCTCACGATCCAAATGTATCTTCAGGCCCAACAGAAGAACTTGATTGTAGCCTATCTCTCGGTTTTGCAGTTAGTGGTCCATATTCCTTTGTCGTGGGCTCTCGTTTACGTTCTCGGATGGGGTGCTGGTGGGGCAATGGCGTCATTGTGTGTGTCATTGTGGATTGTCGTGTTTGGCGAGTTCGTTTATATATTCGGAGGGTGGTGTGAGGATTCTTGGAAAGGCTTTAGTTTGGCGGCTTTGAAGGACATTTTTCCAGTGGTGAAGCTCTCGATTTCTTCTGGTCTCATGATTTGGTAGGTCGCTCTTTCTGCTTTTGGGATGTTTTGACCTATTTGAGGAAAGAGATGGAAAAAAAAAATCATTCAGAATCGTGTTTTTTCGAGTCGTGTTGTGCCAAAACTAATAGTACGCGTATGTTTGTTCGAGAAAAGACTTGAAGTTTAGTGCTGAAGTTTGCTGGGTCAATGGTGATTGTTGTAAGTTGAACTTAAATATCATTCAGGAGAACATATATGGCAGCTATCATATGTTCTCATGTTGCTACTGTTTTTCGAGTAGCTTCATTAACGGGATGGTTCTTGAACATGATATTCACCTTACAACAATCACCCAACCAAATTTCAGCACTAAAGTTCAAGTCTTTGTCGAACAGTCATATTATACCTCTATTATGAAAATGCTTTAGCTTTGACGCAACACGACTAGAAAAAACATGACTCACTCTGTCTCTTTTTCGTTTTTTTCTTTTTTTTTTTTCGAGTCGTGTCACGTCAAAATTAAAGCATTTTTATAATAGAGGTATGTCCGTTTGAGAAAGACTTGAACTTTAGTACTGAAATTCGGCATTATAACATGAGAATAATATCAATCACATTTTGCATTATAAGTTTATAACAACAACAACAGAGCCTTTTGGATCGATTTAGACTTTATTTTGCAGCTTGGAGATGTGGTACTATGCCATCCTAGTCTTACTGGCAGGTTACATGAAAAACGCCGAAGTTGCCATATCGGCTTTCTCCATATGGTGAGTTTGCTTGCTTTATACCCTTCGAACCTTTCTTTTATGCTTTTTTTCCCTTTTGTTTTTTAAAATTTTCGACTGATAATCGTAAGCAAATTACTTTTTTTTTGCAGCCTCAACGTTAATGGATGGGAATTCATGATATGCTTAGGTATTCTTGGCGCCGCATGGTACACTGTTCAATGAAAAATCAATAGATATTCTTTCATCATATCATCAAACAATTCTCTTTTTTCACTTATGGCTTTTGTTTTTTTTTTTTTTTTTGTATTTTGTTTTATGTGTAGCGTGCGTGTTGCGAACGAGCTAGGACGAGGGGATGCAAACGCCGTGAAATTCTCGATAAAAGTTCTTCTCACTACTTCGGTTGTGATAGGGCTATCGTTTTGGATCCTTTGTTTGATCTTTGGCCAAAAGCTCGGCTACTTATTCACGAATGACGAGGCAGTTGTAAGAAGCGTGTCAGATCTCTCTATTCTGCTTGCTTTCTCGGTTTTGCTCAACAGCATTTACCCCGTTTTCTCAGGTTTTGTTTTTCTTTCTTTATTTTGTTCGTAGTCATAATAACTTCTTTTTTCCTTTTCTTTGCGCTAATTTTTTTCTCTTGTTTCGTTTCGCGATATAGGTGTGGCTGTTGGGGCAGGCATGCAAGCAATGGTTGCTGTCGTGAACATCGTGTGCTTCTATCTGATTGGACTTCCGATCGGGCTCGTGCTCGGGTATCTCGTCGGTCTTCAAGTAAAGGTAAAACGCTCATCTCATTTTCGATTGCTTTTGTCGCGAACCGAGTCTTGATTATTCAAAGAGATGTTGATCACAATTCACAAGTTTGTACAAATTTCAAATTGAAAGTTGATTGATATGTGAATAGGGCCTATGGATTGGAATGCTTTGTGGGGTTATCTGTGAGACTCTTGTGCTCAGCTTCTTAATGTGGAGGACTAACTGGGATGAAGAGGTAATTAATTCTTCCTTTTTTTTTTTCTTGGAAACTAAAAAATTAAAATAAAAATTATTTATTTATTTTTTTTTCAAAGATTTATGAGTAGAATTTAGGGTGAAATAAATTGGTGCATGCTAACAAAATATTCTGTAATATGTTGTGCAGGTTCTAAAAGCATCTGCTCGTCTCAAAAAGTGGTACCTTAAGTCTCCTGAAGAAGAAGCTATTTTTTGAAGGAATTGGAGATTTACTGTTTTTTTTTTTTTTCTCAAAATATTCTATTAATATTGGGAGAGCTCAATGACAGTGTTTTTTGTTGGGATTTTTATATTAATATTAGGAGCTCAAGGGCAGTTTTATTGGGATTTCTCATCTATATTATTGGGAAATGCTACGGTCGCGTTACGGTACCATCCCGTCGGGTGTTTTAACCGTTAGATCATCTATCTTATCTATCGAGTGAGTTTTTCCAGTTCAGAAAAATGAAATAAGATTATTACATAAGAGAAGACAAGTTCTCCACCCCAATAAGCATGGGCTGCAGTGACATAGCCACAAAACCACGTTTACGAGATCTCGCTTACTTCCACACGTAGATGGACCGGATCACTCTCAAACATAAGGGAAGACCTTCAGAGTCAAAGTATCGTCACGGAGACCGAGGTACTCCATCTCGAGCGTCTCACAATCGCAAAGCCATAGGTAACCCACCCAGTCCTGAAGCAACACTTTATCATTCTTGTAGAGGCCGATGACACTCACAAATTTAGTAGTAGGAGGAAAGACTTTGTATGTGGATACAGGGGACCAGATGCCGTTCTTCCATACCCAAATCTCGAAAATAAAAGGCGCACTTGTCTTCTCCTGCTGTCCCGGACCGTCGATATTCATACTAAAATCAGAAACAATAGCAGCAAGCAGCCCACGAACCTCGGCAATACAAACACATGGGATGTTCCCGAGAATTTCGCTACTGGGCATAGGGATGAGAGCAGGGGGAAACTCCTCCTTAGCAAAGTCGAACGAAATAATAGCAACATCTCCTTTGGTGCAATGCTTGGCTGTCCAATAATAAAAGCCATCAATGAAAAGCGACGGGTACTGAAAGAGCTGCCACTCAAGATCATGGGGATACGGGATTTGCTTCCAAGTTTCGAGCGAAAACAGGTCCGCGTGGGCTTCGTCCTTGGAACGAAAATCCTCAAACACGCGACATCTCACTACCTTATAGTCCCCAGGTGCACAAGGATCAAACCCGATGCTGTAAGCCCACGGGAACGCGAAAGCTGGGTGAGGCATGAGCGGCTCCGCCTTAAAAAAAGGAAGGGTTACAAGCACGTCGGTCCTAGGGTCCCACAGAAGCACATCCGGATCTGTGGGAATTTCGGTATATGTCCACAGCATCCATGTGTTGCAACTCGCTACGACATGATATTTGGCATTCATACAAAAGGGATCGTAGTTTTTAGCTTTGAGTCGAGACAAGTTTGGAAGAAGACCATTATCATCATCACCTTCTCGCAGCAATTTGAAGGAGTTGTTCTCCGTTGAGATCACAGAGCAAATGCGGGTCCCCTCGAGTATACACTGCACCATAAGCATCAGACAGTCGTTAGGTTCCAAACCGCGAGTAACCTCCCCAAGAGTAGCAGGAACACCATCGACAGTACAAGTCGAGAGATTTCTTGAGGAGGATTTGAAGCTTGATTCGGCGTCGGCAACATAAGGGAAGACCTGCATCAGACCCATATTCTTGTCACGGATACCGAGATTCTCCAATCTGTTTGTGTCAAGGTCGTAAGCGAGTAGGTCGCCGTAGGAGCCCTCGAGAAGCAGTTTACAGTTCTTGTAGAGGCCCAAAACTCTATGAACATAAGCATCCGAAGCCGGGATTTTCCCTATGACCACGCAAGACCACGTGGAAGCTTCTTTCCACACCCAAATCTCGAAAAGAAAAGGCTTCCTTTCAGCAGCAGGAATAATACTAGTTACTTTGTTGTTCTTCAGCAATTCACCATACTCGAAAACAACAGCAGCAAGCGACGATTCATACTCGACAATATAAACAGTCTCTTCGGCTAACCTGGCATTGGGGAACTTATCGCTCTTGGGCTCAGGGATCAGAGAGCCAAACCTCTCCTCAGCAAAGTCGAACGAAAGAATGCTACTCGCACGAGTTGGCCAATAATAAAAGCCGTTGATGTAAAGAGAAGGATCTTGACGGGGTTCAATACAGGGGTCGTAGGGACACGGAATTCGCTTACACGAATCACTCGCGAACGAAAACAGCTCAACATGAAGCTGCTGATTGTATTCGTATCTGTCCACCGAGCGAGAGCTCAACACCTTACAGGCGTCCCCTGCAGGATCAAACCAGAGCCCGTAAACCCAATGGTCGGAAAGAGTCGGTCAAGTCAAAGAAAAAAGCGGAAGACCTATCGTCTTGCCGGTTGTGGGGTTCCACAGAAAGTCATATGGATTAGACAAACATGTCAACAGCATCCATGAGTTGCAAGTTCCATGAACTCTAAAAAAGGTGCTGCTGGTAAAGGGATCGTAGTAATCTTCTTTGAGTAGATTCAGGAATTCGGTATCACCTTGTCGCAGCACTTTGCAGTGGTTGTTTTGGGTTGAAATTAGTGAACAATCGAGGGTTCCATCGTCGTGTAAATGCCGCACCAAAAGCATCAAATTGTCGTTGTTGCTATGCGGCTGAGCTTTATCGGGAATTCCGATATCTGCCATTGCCAAACAATCCGATTAGGACTCCTGAATTAGAGAGTAGCTGAGGGACGTCGGGAATGAAGCGGGGCGAGGGCAAGCCGATTAGCAGTCGCAGAGGACCGTGAGTGGCCGTTTGCCGGTGGCCGTGCTCGATTTCGATTTTGGGGGTAGGGTATTGGTTAAATCTTATGCTTTTATAGGCTACTGTATTTGTAGTGTTTCGAGGTAAGATCATTACGAAACTATTCCGGAGTTAGTAATCATTAGATCAACTAGGAGTTAGTAATCATTAGATCAACTATCACTGGCGGTTACATAATAACCTAACAATTACAAACTCTATCGAAATAATTCCGTAACGAGACCGTAACATTGCTCGTTAGTTTATATCTAATTTTCTTATTATCACTAACAAAAACACTCTCTCTATTCATTATTTATTATTTTAATTTTTCTTTTATCTACCCATATTTATTTTATAACTTTTTATTATAATTCGTAGAACTTTCAGGTTTATCCAATCATATATTTATAACCAACATATACTATTTATTGGGAGATGTTACGTTCTCGTTACAGAATTATTCCATTAGATTTGTAATCGTTAGATCAACTATTTTCTACGGTTACATGATGACTTGACAGTTACAAATCTCGATGGAATGGTTTCGTAACTGTAACTATAGTATTTCTCCTATTTATATACTTTTATATCACTTAAAACTAATTAGAATTCTTAATATCACATTTTGTACATCTCCATCACTACACTAGTAGACCATTTAAGAATAATTATACTTTTATATAGCACTTAAAATGTTATTTTTAATATCACCTTTAAAAAATAAAAAATTCTGCAACTAAAATAGCTTATTTAAAAATGTTTTTTTCCGATTAAATAAAATATCATTTCTGAATATGAAATCTCTGCAGCCTTCCGTCTCGCCGTTCGATCTCGTCGCCGGCCGACGCCCTCAGCTGAAAAAACCGGCCACTCCTCTCAAGCCTCATCTGCCACACGCGCCGCCGTCTTGTTTCCAGCGCGTCCTCCTAATTAGCAGGTAACGATATGTGTAGATTTGTAGTCGTGCTGATGCTGGAATCCCGTTTAGCTGGAACCTTTTGAAACTCATCTCGTAGCTCGATTGTAATGGCAGATATCAGGCTCGCGGTCAATCGATTTGATTAGCTTTATAGTAATTTTCAGGGTTGTTAGTTGCTTTTTAAAGTGTTGAGAGAAGATGACAATATGACATACGAATTAAAAAACGAGAAAAGTAAACAACACAAGATTTACGTGGTTAGACAATTTACGTGGTTTTACGTGGTTCGGCAATGTGCCTACGTCAACGGCGTCTGAGGGATCTTTATTATTCTCAATAGTCTCAAATACATTAATACACCATGTATTTATACTAAAATCCTACAAGGTATAAATTTACTTAAATACCCTGTAATGTACCGCGGGGGCTCTGCCCCGCACCCCATCTATACCGCGGGGGTTCCGCTCACTTCGCTCGGTCGCTCTGCTTCCCTGCCCCCTTCCTTTGTCAATATATGAGCCATATCAACATAAAGAATATAATACTTAGACATTGTCTTTGCGGTCGAGCTCCTTTTTTCTTTAATTTTTGTCTATCTACTGATATGACGATTCACTGAAAATCTGGTAAACAATCTTCGAAATTCTATGTTATTCTGATACGCTGATCCTGAATTTTGGGTGATTTTGTATGATTTTAACAGAAAAATTAAGTATGGGTGTGTTTAGTTTCAAGATAGATGCATTGGCCTTATTTGTGTTTTACCAGTTGTGTTTGAGTACAATCATCCAAGCACACCTATTTGCTTCACGGTAAACCGGAAATATTTGTTAGCATTGGATGATTGTACTTCTTCTCCACATGCTAAAAAGTTCAGTCGGTTTTGGTTAAGGGACATGTATTCTTGAACAGGTCTTTTTATATTTTGCTATAGTTAATGTGTATAGTTAGTTCAAATCCTGTTTTAAACCTCTGTCAATCTGTTTTACATGTTGATTTATTTATCCGTACGCCACTCGCACGTTGTTTGATCATCTCTAGAAGGAACGAAGAAAAGATTTGAGCCAACAATTTATATGCAGCCGATAAATTCTTAAAGCAGATAACCATTTTTCTTGGCCTGATTTCCCTTATGTCTTTGCAGTTCTTTAACAGAAGCATTCTGTATAGTGATACTGGAAGGTGCTAGTATAGTATTGTTTTCACTTTGCGTGGCTAATTAAACATTTCTGTAAAAAATGTGTCATTTTGCACAGGTTTGTGATAAGTAGACCTTTATCTTGATAGGTTCTTCCGGCTGATAATGATTGTTCTTGCGGAGCTGGCAATAATGAAAGCAATAAACTTTGCTTCCCCAGATTGATCCACAAGCAATGAACGATCGTGTGAGTTTACTGACGGATATTTTTAAGGAGATTATTAAAGATCATTTTTTCACTTCTCTAAATAGAATCAGCACCATATATA